ATAATCCATGGGTAGCCATTCACCTGCAATGACAGCTGCTGCTGAGTGCATCAGTTCGCATTTAATTGGAAACATCGCTACAATATCCTCTCGACCCGCTTCTAACGCAGACCTAAGCCATTACTCTTGCAAACGAGAGGGCGTGGGAAGAAGCGTGGACTGGAGTGCAGCCTAGGCGGCCATTTTTGCCAAATGATGTCATCCTGAGCCAGCACTACTCAGTGCCTACGCTAAATCCACGTCCTCTCATATACCTTCTCACTTGCAAGGATAGTGACTGTAGTCGTCATCCTGGCACTTGATGGCGGTCGAACGGCCGCAGACGCGGGTGCAGCAACGACCGCGTCACATGTGACAAAGCGTCGGCGGCGCGGGACAGCTAGCATGCGTCCCGTTAATCCGTGCGGCTCAACACGTGCCACATAGGACCCTGCCACCTTCCCATTGACAGCTGGCGCGGCGATCAGCTGTTTTTTGGCTTAATTAAGCCGCTTTTTCTACAGATTGTCCTTTATTCGGCCGCTTTTATGGAAGGTGAGTTGCTTCCCCTCTTCAGGTAAAAAATTAGAACATTTTCTTCTCTTTAGTAGTTAACGTGATTTTTTGTAGTTTTAATTGCTTTTTTGCTAGTGTTCTCATATTTTCAGGTTTTGCCTGCTTCTTTCTCATTTCTTCCACTTCTGCTTGGCTTCTTTTTCAATACTGCGTCCCTGTTGTGTTACTGTCTATGCTGAGAAAACTCTGTGACACAGTTTCGAAGACTGCAGCCGTTTTTACAGCCGTGTTCCCAAGCTGCCCGTAAATTGTGCCGGAAGTTTGTACTTTTTTTGTATGACGCATTCTTCGGTAATTGTGCCAATGTTGTGTCTGTTTTACGCGAAGAACGCACTTTGGCATGGTTTTTAAGCTTGTGTGTCTTTTTCTGTTGAATGAGCTTTTTCAAAATGTGTGCTAGTGCCCTTATTTAGGCCGTTCGATGAGTTTTTTCGTTCATTTTTTGCTTGTTCTTTTTTTGTATAGCTCATACTTCATAACTGTGCCATTTTTGTGTTCCTTATAATGAGGAGAACACACTTTGGCGCGGTTCTGAAGCCTGAGGTACTTCTGAACGAGCTTTTTCCAAGGTTAGCGCTGGTGGCTTCTTTTTGCACTGCAGGCTGGTCTGACACCTCTACTATTCGGCTAATACCTTATTTGTTCTTTTTTTACATGGGCTCCATTCTTCATTGCTATGGCTTGCTTGGTGTTCCTTCCATGAGGTAGAACACACTTTTGTCAGCGGTTGTGAAGTTTGTCCACGTTTTTCCAAATAGCCAGATTTTCAAGGTTTTACTTTGGCGGCGCGCGGTTCTGGTGGGCAGTGCTGAGTCTCTGGTTCATTTTTTTATTTGTTCTTCTTTATATGTCTCAAGCTTCATTGCTATGCCATTGCTGTGTTCTTTTTAGTGAACACACTTTGGCACGGTTTTGAAGATTGACATCTCTCACCTACGCTTGTAGCGCTGGCGTTCCTGCAGTCGTTCAACGTTTCAAACTAATGTTTTCGCGAAGCATGAGAAATTGTAGATAGACATGAATTATCATCTGCTATTTCTATTATTTCCAGCGGCTTTGCGCGATTGCCTGCACGGCCTTCTTCTGAGGTAAAGAGGATTTGCCTGAGCGGGCCCGGCTCCGCTTGAACAAGCTTATCCTTCCCCAGTATTTTCATACGAGTGCACTACATGATTCTTTTATATAGTGAGATTGTAAACATCACACATTGCCTCAAAGTGATACTAAAACATGGATTTTATTCGCGACTCTGCTTGCGGTTGATCCTTCCTCTATTCACCTTATCGCTTTGATTGGCGCTTTTTATTATAACACTCTGAGTGATGAGTTTCTACTAAACGCACTCTATGCTTCCCCTCCCGTACTCTCTCACTATCCACCCACCCCATCGGACTACCCTCCCCACTCCACTTGCCCCACCCACTCCCGGCCGCTGCACGTGCTCACGTCCACCTGCCACGCGAGCAGCTCGTGCAATGGTTTGGAGTGCACTACATGGTTCTCTTATATAGTGCAGGGTGTTATCACAATCAAATTGGGTTTTTATATCATTTTGTCATCCTAATTCTTTGCACGGCTAGCGGTCGTACACTCTCCTCCTGACCGTGTTTGAACGCCATGAAGCATTTTGCGGACGACAGACTAACACCGATACATTAAAACCGACACAGCCAGCGTTAGTGGTTTATAGAATGTAAGGATTATTGGCTATTCTGTATATGAATTTTGTATCACTTCCGCCGACGGAAGCCGGTGGCCTGTTCATCGACCTGATTTCGCCTGCCACTGTCTTCAGCTTATGCACCGTTGACAAGGTAGTCAACTCCTCTTTTTTCAAATGCTTCGATATTCGATTGCTTTCCCAGTGTCTTATGTCGCCTTCTTTACACACTTTTCACTGCTTTTTGCCTCGAGAGGATGCACGTTTCAGTTCAGGTAATCCAACCATGAAGACTTCTCCGGTGAACGACATCTGCTGATGGCCATGTTTCTGAATTCAGTTGTCTTTCCACCCAATAAATGCATTCGAGTGTGTGCTACAAATTTAATTTTCGTTCCTAACAAACCAATTTCTCACTTTCATCACCCTTAAATTTTTCCATGTGACATGCTTTGCCCCGTGGACTACATGTGACTTAATCTCGTCACTGGGCGGGCAATTGCTTAGGCGGTGTCACGGCCGCAGCGCGTGCCACGAAACTATTTGGCTTTTTCAGGCTAATTCGTCATCTTTTATTTCGCACTTGTGAAGATAAAGGAGTGCTTAATGCTGGGAAAAGTAGGCCAAAACAGTTGAAAAGTTGACAAATGACCATAATATAGCCTGCGAACAGCAATAGTTTCCTGGCACGGCCTGCGCCCGTTGACGACCACCCTAATCAGCTGCCCGGATGACGAGGGTAACTGCAGCTTTTGTTACTAACAAATTCGTAGAGTTTCTATTTTTCAATTTTTCCACTATTACACCTCGGTCACGCTTTAGTTTCATTAGACATGTTAACAATAGTTAAATAAACAAAGCAGTAAGGAAAAGTGAGTAACGAAGGAATCGAGAATGCTAGAATCCAGAGACAACAGTGTCCAAAAGGAGCAAGTATTAGGAAAAGTGCATAGAATGCAGTCTGTCAATCAGTATTAGAAAAGACACCAGAGCAGGCTACACACCGGTGGAAAAAACGGTAACTATAACGAAATTGTAAGTGTAAATAATAACAAACATCGTTACCTTCACAACAAACAGCGAAACCCGTATTGGTGGAAATATCCAGAACTGATGGGAGAATTGATGAAAGCGGCAATACTTTTATCTTTAGTAGTGAAACCCTCCAAGAGTCTACTACTAAGATTCGGAGACGGCGAGTAAAATAACAGAACTAACAAGTGCTAGTTAACAAATAGAACCCGTCGCTATGAGTACTTACACGTTAAGTGAGAACCCGTTCTTCGAACACGTTATAAACCCGTGTGAGTAAACAATTGGAGCAGTATAAAACAACGAAAAATGGTCACAGCTCTACATCTCATTCACTGAGAACATCAATGATATTCCGACTACACAACAACCCATCTCATCCTGAGCGACGAATCCCTCATGTTCCAGTTCCATAAAACTGTTGGCGTCTAAGCCTTTTCAGGCCGAGCACAGCACTTCCTTTCTTGGCGGCCTCCCTACCCCAACCGGGCTCACCAGCCGTTTGACAGGCACCCTCTATCTCACAGCCCTACTTTGACGCTGAGAAAAACCGAACAAGGTACAAAAGATTTCAAATTAGAGATAATTCAAAAGCCTTACTGTTTCCAGCCTATGCGTAGTTCGTCCCATCTTATTCAGGCGGTGCTTAAGATGGCTCCAACATAGCTCTATAGAGATGGCTCCAATAAAAAACGCACAAGTTGAAAGAAACATGAAATGCTGGAGCCTTGATAGGCTCACCCCATATCCTCGCAGATCTTGTCAGCAGTGTAGCAGCGAAATGCTGCAGCGCCACCTCGGCTAGCTACGAAGTAGTCCAGCTAGAAAAGACTCAAAGCACTCAAAAGAAGGAACTAATGTTGTTTGAAGGCGTAGACGAACCTCCCTTTAGAAGGCAGCCCACTGAACCATCTATGGCTACTTCGACGCCGTGCGAGTCAAGATACTCTATAATTTCATGCACTGTGGACCGTAAACTCGGGACCTGACATCAACGTTCATGATTCGTAATAACATATTTTGTCCTCACCTCCTCTAGAACTCTGGTATGGTACAGAGCATTGTCCTGCACTAGAAAGCCCCGCTGCTCCTCATCAAGGGGACCGACGACTTCAGCCAGTCCTCGAACACTGCGTGATCCATTGCACGATGAGAGCCGTCCTGCGCAGTTTGGTGTCCACTAACGAAAACATGGGTGCAACCAGGAATCACTCCACCGTCGCACAACGCCGTGATGACGATGCCACGCTTCCCTTTATTCTTGCCAGCAGTTTTGCCCCAGGAATATTGCCGTATTTCCTCAGCAGCAGTGTAAAACGTGTCAGGCTGTTGTCCACCCATCCTTTTCTCTTGACCATACCTCCGAACACCCATGTTTCGTCCAAATAAACTACGCAGTCCATTCTTACTAGGGCCTCTTCCACTTTCCTCAGGTATAAAGATCGCTTAAGGGCGAGATCGGACCGTTCAAAGATGTATCGTTGCCCTTCAAGGATCTTGTAAGAGAAGCCGAGGCCCCTCACCAATCTCCACACGTCATCGACGACAGTGTGAAATACGGATAGGCTGCTGTCATTCGCTGGCGCAGCTCCTGGATGGTGACGTCAATCTCTTCCTTCAGCATTGAGTGCACCAGCCGCCTCACTTTCTCACCCCATACGGCGCCGAATTATTCATAGCGGTCATTACCGCTGCTTTCCGTGTGCGACTCTTGCAAGCCACTCGCGGAACAGCAGGGCGGACAGGTGAATTACTAATCCGAGTGACCGCCGGTACACTCACACGGCATGCCGTGGCAGTTATTTCTGTGATTCGGAACGGTTTCACGTGCTGTGGCCCCGAGATGTTCTTTCAGTTTTGCCAAAAACTGCTCCACATTTGCGATGACGGCTTTCGCATCAGGGGTAAAAAGGTGGCGCCCTCTGAAGTTACTCAGAACATCAGTCACTAGCATGTTATGCGGTATAGCATGCAATGCTATGCAGAGGCAACTTTCACTGCGATAATGTTGCTCAGCGACTGGTTGCACAAGAGCAATCTCCTGAAAGCGGATCTCCCTTTTCAGTGAAGCTGAGAGCGCAACATCAACACATCAAAACGCACTGACCCCCACTCTAGCACCGTGCACCACTTCCCTGGATGGAGCCAGCAAAAGCGATCGGGCAATAGGAGACTGAAAACGATATCACATATACTATGTGATCTAAAATATCAGAGAAACCAAAATAATCTTTGCTCTTACGAAATCACGTGGTGCGTCCATTGCGCAGAAAGAGGCGAAAGAGGCTTTAGTGCTGAAAAGGAAATCTTAACGTCTTGAGAAGGTGTGGGTAGTAGATACTCAGGTTGTTTCCGAATGAAGCAATAAGATTTGCGACTGAGTCTACACTCATAACATTCTCGACGCCTCGACAATTGCCATTGTTTATCGATAAGTAATCATATCTAATGAAACTAAAGCGTGACCGAGGTGTAATAGTGGAAAAATTGAAAAATAGAAACTCTACGAATTTGTTAGTAACAAAAGCTGCAGTTAAGTCACATAGTCACGGGTGCAAAGCAGCACCATGAGAATCTAAGAGCTAATGAAGTGAAAAATGGTTTGTTAGTAACAAAAAAAACCCGTAGCACACACTGGAAGCGAATAGTGGTGGAAAGAAACTGAATCAGAACATGGCACAGCAGCATGTCGTTCACAGCAGAAGTCTTTATGGTGGATACTGAACTGAAAGCGTGCACTCTCCTGCAAAAGCAGTGAAAAG